TAATTTGGTCCTTGATTATTGTATGGATTCTCAATTTGGTTTCTAAACTAAAAATTTTTTTAATTTGGTTCTTAAATTATTGTAGGAAACCTCGATTTGCTCCTTATTATTTACCAATTTACTTCAAATTAGTCTTTCCGTATAAAAACCAATTAATGTGTCTTATTATTAACGTGACACATAACCATTAAGTTATTATTTTTTGTTGTTAAGTAATGGACACATCAATTGTTTTTTTGTACAAAATGACCAATTTAGAACAAATTAGTAAACAATAGGGACAAAATCAAAGATCCGTACAATAGTTTAAAGACCAAATCAAAAATTTTTTTAATTTAGGGACTAAATCGAGATCCATATAATAGTTCAGAACCAAATTGAATCCGTACAATAGTCTCGTCCGCACTAAATTACATAAATCCATCCAAACAAATAAAAGAACAGCTACAAAAAATAGAAAACAATAGAAAAAAAAAAAAAAAAAAAAAAAAAAAAAAAGAAGAGAAGCAAGCAAACGAGACACCGAGAGACAATGGTGACGCTAATAGTGGCTACGACCACCGATCCAGCCTCCATCAACCCCGCCACTGCCCTCTTAAGCATGCCGGGGTGGCTTCCCGGCCCCTCTTTGTCTCAGGTTGCTTAACTTTTCATCTCCTAACCTTCTTCTTTCACCGGTTTTAATTTTATATTTTATATTTTCATAATATTTATTTTTATTTAATATTATCATCAGGACATGAAGTCCTTCACCAATCAGCAATTGCGACTCTTGCAACACAACAAAGGCATCGTCGAAGAGGATGATTTGGATCGCCGTTGGGAAGAAGCCACGGGCGAGGTCGTCGACGAGGTAATCTTCTTTAGCAAACACACTGCCGTTTCTAATCGACCTGCCCTCACCGTTCACCCAACCGGTACCATTTCTCACTTCTTCGCCTCTTTGATTGCTATTATTTTAGCTGGATCAAGCCTTACCTTGTTTGCTTCCTGCCAGGGGTGCCTCATTTGCGTGAAGGTGATGTACCGCCTCAAGGCGGTAGGCCTGGTTGGGCAAGCCCTCCCAGTCCCAGGATCGGGCCTTGGCTAAGGCTTTTGAAGACAATTGCTCAATCTCATAATTTAGTTCCTGAATTTGAGGTGTTAGTTTTATTTAATTATTATGGTCTTTTTTTATTTGTATGATGAAAAATATCATTTACATTTTCATTGTTGCATTGATTGTAGATTACTCTGGAGGGTACTCACCATGGGCCAGTAACTAGTAAACCTACCTTGTTTCTAGAAATTGGTAAGTTTCTCTTGATCATAAAATTAGTTGCTATATATTTTTAGACACAAATTTTTATATAAAATGCACTTAAGTATGTTATTAGTTGAGCACGTGCAGACAGAGAGCAGAATATTATTGTGTATAGCTTCTGGGATGAATGTTTTATTGCTTACATGTTTCCCATGTCAGTTGTTATTACATATGATTCTGTGCATTTCAAAGTGTATGGTTTTGAACTCTTCTGTGGGGATAATCACATCTTTTCTGCCCTTGTTGTATGATAATTCTATTTCATTTCAATGTTATTAGCACAATGTTAATGATGGTCTTGTAGCATGTCTTATAAGGATTAATTACCTCTACGTGGGACACAATTGGGGGGAGGGGGGAGACTGCCTACTGCTCCTTTTATTTTGTGTTTAGGGTCTGGAATGTTTGTTTATTGTCAGGAAAGATGAGGGGTATAGTGAATAAGAGTGTAGAACGGACTTGGGGTTGATTGGGTAATAATGTTTAGGATTATTAGTGTTTCATTCAGATAGGTTGCCAAATTTCACTTTATCATCTCACAAAATATGACAGTGGTTGTTATTTTGCTTTTAATTTTAAGCAATAGACAATGTGTTTGGTTGGAAATTGACAAGAAATGCCAAATATATATTCTTTTTGTATTTTCATTTTATGGAAACTGACAAGAAAGGTATAAAATGAAAAAAGAAACAGCAAATAGCTGCTAATAAAGCAAAATTTGGCTCTCAACAAAAGAACTGTTGCTAGGAGCAAATTCCCTAAGATTACAAGAGGAACATTTGAATGTAGAACTTCCTTTTTGAAGGAACATTTTAGCCATTTTTAGGCAATCCTCTGTCTAAATCTGATTTCCACTTCACCCTAGATCCTTTGCTATTAAAAAACAACACATAACACAAAGAAGTAGATAGAAAGGATGACAGTACCATTTGGCAATGGCTGTTTATTTGACCCTTGTGGTCCATTTGGTTTGTGTAATTTCTTTTCCTGCTGCTTTCTTGGATATATTCCTGGGCTTGAACTTGATTCCCCTATCCTTTGTCTGTTCTGATTTAAATCTATTGTTATTGAATGCCAAAAATTGGACAACTAATGTATGTTCTATGTTTATAACTTTACTTTATTCAACAGGATGACTAATATTAGGTTTCATATCTTCTGTACCATGTTAAATGCTTCTTGTAGTTAAAAATTGAAATAATTGCAGCTCATATTGTGAATTCCTAGAATGAGTTTTTAAACCTCTCTTGGGTGGTTTCTTTTTGTTGAGATAGGTAGTACAGATGAGTACTGGAAGAGGCAGGATGCTGCTCACGTCATGGCTCTAGTTAAGTGGATCTTTATAACCATTGCTGTTTCAAGATTTATTCATTGCAATGCTCTACCATTACTATGTTCCTTCGATGGTTTTTCAATTTTGCATTTCAAATTGTCTGGAATTTTAATGACCATATCTTTTTCTTTTTCTTTTTTTCTTTCTTGACATAGTCTCTGTTGTAAGTTTTTGCTTGTTATGTATGGCTATCGTCTATCCTCTGAAGTCTGAATGTAACTGTTACTTTACATTTTGTTCTAGCTAAGTTCATATGTACTTCATTTGCAGTTTTCTAGTGTAACGGATTGGATATTCAAAGCAATTAAAGTTTGTTGTCTAATATTTGATATTCTTTGTGCTTTCAGTTGGTTTGGCAAGGACTCGGACTTGGAGGTTTTGATGCTGTAGGAAACTGGAACAGGTACCGTTGAAAAAACTTAAACTATGGTCATTATGCTTTTATGAAGTATTATTAATGCAGCACTTGATGTTTGTGTACTGGTCAGTGTTGTCAATGTGGGTCTTCGCAGCCACTATAGCGGCATAATGTAGCATCCTATGGCTCTGCCGCTATGATAATTGCTATAGCATGGCAGTTTATCAATAACAGTTGCTATTCCCGTGGCAGATAGCACCTGCTATAAGTGCTATTGTTTATTCTGTTTAAAAGACCAAAAAATCCTTGTTTATTGAATCTGGATGGTTTGTTTTGATACCAAACTGATGTAGAACAAGAAAGGGATTTCTGGATAATTCAATTCTGAAATAGAGACAAAGGTGAGAGGAGAATAGTAGAAACAGGGGCAGGGATGAAAAGAGAATAGCAGAATTGGGGATTTTTGGAAGACAATTTCAATTTGAGTAACCCTAATACAACCTAAGCTTTTATAGGGAATATAGAAAACTGTAATATGGAAATATAGAACCTAATTAGACTAAAATTCCCAATAAGACTCAGGAATCTTTATTGGAAGATATGAAATTCTAATAAAATATAAGAGATTAGTTTTTAATAGCCAGACCTCTAAAAAAATTAGGAGGAATAAATTGTTTCAATAAAGCACCATGGGAAAAGATCTAAACAGTCTCATTCTTCTTTAAAAATAAGGTATGTTAGTTTTTTTCAATGGGTGTTTATTGAAACAAGTTTTTTAGAGCTATGACTGATGAGCACTTTTCTGTATACATAAATACTAAGTATATGTGACAATTTAATTAAAAAATAAAAGAAACCTAATAACTTCCTTATTTGTTTTAAACCTCCAATGTAGTGTTTGGTCCAATGGAATAACTGCATAATTATCCAAGTCAAGAAAAGGCAGCACACCCGAAGCTGGGGTTGCTTCAAAGAATCCTAGGAAAAGTGTAATTGCTTCAAAATTCCTTCAAACTTATCTCATCTTTAGACAAATTTTCGACCACTAGGATTTAGGATTCCTAACATGATAGAAATTAATATAAAATGACTAAGAAAAACGTTAGGACTTTAATAAAATAAAACCTTCAAAAAACCTAAAATAAGATAAACTTAATCAAATTACAAAATAATCTTAAGGCTTTAAATTGCACAATGAACAATTCTTGCAAATAAGTTCGAATTGGACTCTTTAATTGCTGCATCAGTATTGTGAAACCTTTCTTAGCACTGCCTCCCTCTGTTTCTGTCCACACTCGGTTTCTCTGTCTAATTCATGATATCTTCTTCTTCTCTTCACTTACCCTGTTGTTTGCCCTTAACTATAGCAACCACATTGTAAGCTGCAAACCCTTCCTTTTCAAGCTTAAACTGATTTTTGAAAGAAAAGGTAAAATAGAAACCAAATCTAGTCCATATCATGTCACAACAAATGATAATTACTAGGGTTCTTGTTTCTATATGATTTGGTTTAATTACTAGGTTAATGGCATATCTAGTATGATATTAGAATTAGATCTGTTGTATTTGTTAAGGAAGAAATTAGTATATCTCCTTCAAAATTTTTAAATGAGTTGGTCTCTTACCCAACTTGATTCATTACCATGTTTATAATTATGTTTAGGGAGAATGACAAAAAGAAGGTGCTTCTTGGGATTGGTGGTGGCCATTATGCTCCTCGGCATATGGATATAGTTGTGTAAGTAAATGCCATGAAATAGTTTTTCCCTCTTTATTTTGTTATTCTTTGAAAATCCTTCTATATCATAGTTTCTATTTTTTGTATTCTCAAACTAATTTTCTTACCCATGCTAGTGTTTTGGTTAAGAATGGAATAAACTTAAATGTTGGAATTCAGAGAAGAGAAAACAAGGCCCCAAAGAGTTTT